CTCGGGTCGGGGAGCCCAGGAGCTCGTCTGCCGGCCGCCATCTCTCCTCCTCAGAAGGTCTCCCCTCCCGGACACCCCCGGCCCCTCAGCCTTGAGCCGTGGCCGCGGCAGAGAACCGGCCAACTCATCCTCCGCGGGGGCCTCCACCCCCGGCGCGCACAGGGGCGCACGGGGTCCGCGGCGGCGGGAGGGGGTGGTCCGCGGCTGGACGGCCCCCCGGAAGGCGAGACCGGCCGGAGCGAGCGCCGGGAGGGGGTGCGGCCCGGAGCCCCGCGGGTGGCACGGGTCCAGGGTAAAGGGTAGTGCAAGCCCGGGTCGCGGGGGGCGGGGGCATCCGAGCGCCGGGGATGCCGAGCAGGGAGGAGAGTGGAGGGGCCAGTCCGGGTCGGGGTGTCCCCGGGGGCGCTCACTCGGCGTAGCCCGTGCTCCAGGGTAGGCGGCGGCCGGTGTCCGGGGGGCTTTGCACGGCGCGGCCGGCGTGGTCGTCGGCGCGGCGCAGCCCCCCCGGGCTCAGCTGCAGGAAGGTCGGTCGGGAGAAGCTCGCCCGAGCCTCTGCCGTCTTGGCGGGCGCCGCGCCCCCGCTCCCAGGCTTCGCCGGAGGGCTCCTGGGCGCTTCTGGAGGGGCGGCGGGGGGCGCCGAGGTGGCGTTGGGCAGGTCCGGGGACTTGGGGCGCGGAGGCGGGGCGCCCCCGGAGCTCACCAGGTGCGCCACGGCGGAGCGCACCCGGTTTAGCATGCTGCCTCCCCGCCCCGCCCGGCCCTGGCCCCGCCCCTCTCGGTCCTGGCTCCGCCCCTCCGGGCCCTGGCTCCGCCCCGCCCGGCCTTGGCCCCGCCCCGCCCGAGCGTGGCCCCGCCCCGAGCTTGGCCCCGCCCCTGGGGCTCCAGGTGGGCGGCGCTTGCTCCTGCGAGCTCGGCGGCTCCACCCGCTCCGGGCGGGCAGGGCAGGTGGCGGCCCGGGCAGGTGGCGGCGGCCCGAGCTTCCTCCCGCTCCCGGTCACCGGGGACCGCCCGGGAGCCCGCTCGCCGCTTCTTCTCTGCCAGCCTCCAACTTCAGCCCGCCTCCGTTTATCTGGAGAAGGGTCTCTTGCAGGAGGAGGTCGCGAGCAGGAAACCCTGTACCAGCCGTGCCCTACATCAGACATCGGTTAAAACTTCCCCATTGTAACGGGAGGGGGTGTCTTCTCGCCCTTGTTGCGTCGTGGCCAAGCTGCAGGGAGGGTGATGGAGCTGATGAGCTCAGAATGAAACCAGCCGCTTCGGGACCGCTGGGTGTGAAGCACCTGGTGTGACAACACCTCTGGCGGGGGCGGCTGCAGCGAGGAGAGCGGATGCTGCGCGGCGTGGGGGTGGCAGCCACGCGGGCTGAGCCGACCCGGCTGGAGGAAGGAGCTGGGGGAAGGCAGCTGGGCCTGAGACCACCTCCAGATCTGGGACAGCGGCTGCCACTCCGACCAACTCCACTTTCTTTTTCAGAACCCGATTTTCCCCCACATTAGGATCTCCCCGGACCACAGCGGTTCCAGTTAGTAGGAATATCCACAATAAGTACATAGGCTTACTACAGAGGAGGCCCCTATAAAGCACTCTCCATGCATTAGCCATGTATACCGCACCCCAGGCCTTGAAGGTGAGTTTTCTTATGTTCTCTTCGCAGGTGAGGGAAGACTGGACCGCTCCTGTCCTTTGACATGACTTGCCCCAAGAGGCCACATAGCCTGCGAGAGATTCACGCCCATGTCGGTCCTTGGAGGCCCAGACCCGATTCTGTCTTAAGGACCAAGCTGATTTGTTGGGATGGGGGGAGAGGGGAAGGGTTAAGAGGGGGATGGGTGTACAGACACACCACCCAAAGCAGCGATAGTGAAGGCAAAGATAAACAGCTGGGACTACATCAAATTAAAGAGCTTCTGCACAGCAAAAGAGACAATAACAAAAACAAAGAGAAACCCCACCAACTGGGAGAACATTTTTGCACACAACACTAATGATAAAGGACTGATCACAAAAATCTGCAAAGAGCTGATGAGACTCAACAACAACCAAGAAAATAATCCTGTCAAAAAATGGGCAGAAGAGCTAAAAAGAAACTTCTCTGAAGAGGAAATGCAAATGGCCAACAGGCATATGAAAAAATGTTCAACATCACTTGTCATCAGGGAAATGCAAATCAAAACTACCATGAGATCCATCTTACACCAGTGAGAATGGCACATATTAAAAAAACTAGCAACAACAAATGTTGGCGAGGGTGTGGAGAAAAAGGAACTCTCCTGCACTGCTGGTGGGAGTGCAAACTGGTCCAACCACTATGGAGAGCTGTGTGGAGATTTCTGGACCTACTAAACATAGAGCTTCCATATGATCCAGCAACTCCACTCCTAGGTATTTACCCAAAGGACACAGAAACATCCATTCCAAAAAGCACCTGCACCCCTATGTTTATAGCAGCACTGTTTACAATAGCTAAGCTTTGGAAACAGCCCAAATGCCCAAAAATAGATGACTGGATCAAGAAGATGTGGTCCATATACACCATGGAATATCACTCAGCCTTCAAAAAAGATAAACACATGCAATTTGCAGCAACATGCATGGCGCTGGAAGGGATCATGCTCAGCGAAATAAGCCAGAAAGAAAAAGAAAAATACCGGATGGTCTCACTCATAGCAGGAATCTAGAAAACTTAAATAAGGGACCAGGAAAATGAATAACTATAAGAAAGTGAAAATCAAAATCAACAAAAACTATGAACCAGAGACACTCTATGGGGGGTGGGGAGGGGAGGGATTGGGGTCCAAATAAGGGGGTTGCAATTGTATGGGGAATATAAAAATAAAATTTATTTAAAAAATAAAAGAGGGGGTAAGTGGCAGAGAGGAGAGAATGTTCCTTCTCTCCCTCCACTTCTCTGCAGGCAGGTGCTGCCCGCCATCCAGGGATGCCGCGCAGGTTCTGTGCCCGCCGCCAGAGGGCGACAGAGGCCGGGCCAAGTAGGGGAGGCTGCGCGGGGAGGTTGGAGCTCCACTGAGGCCAGAATAATTGTTCCTAAATCTGGTGTCAGAGGATTAATCACCGAGCCTCCAGAGACACCTCCTACCCCGCAGACGGTGCCCATGGGGACAAATCCCCTGTGACCCTAATGCAAGTCGGATTAGCCCTCAAGGGCCACTTGCACTAAGTTCACGCTTGGGAGTCCCTGCCTGGCCTCCGTTCAAGGGTGCTGTCCTGAGGAGAACCCCATCTACTCCCCGGGTTAACCGGTGCCTCAGAAAGGGTGGCTTTCTCAGCAGCTTCCGAGAGAACATCTCAGATTGGTCATTCGGTGGTGCAGACTTGCTGTAATTATGCCTGCCTGGGCAGAGAGGGCCAGAGAAAAGAAGTCACAAGTTAAAAACAAGCAAAAAACAGACCCAAAGGCATGTAGACCAGCAAAAGCAAAAGCGAGACAAAGATTGTGCTACTACTATGGGTACGTCCCTCCCGTCTGAGCAAAACAGAAACCAGCTCTCAGAGGAATGGTATAAACCGCAACAGCTAGCCAAAGACTGCAGAAAAAGTACAGCATCCCGGCTATGTTTATTATTCAGTGTTTCTGGGACAGTTTACTTGCCACCTCTCCATGTCCCCCAGCTTCCTCATCTCTGCTCTGTGCATCCCACCGTGGCCCCTCAAGTGGGCCACACAGCTGGGGACCCAGACCCCACCCCACCCCCAGCTCCAGCGCCAAATGGTCAGCAGAGATGACAGTGGCACCCTGGGGCTCCAGAAGAGCCCCCCAGCCCTCCCTACCCACATGCTAAGGCTCTCCTCTCCCGGAGCTTCTCGCCTGCTATTTCTGGCTTCATCACACCTCCTTCACCCTCAGACTGCCCCAGAACTGGGAGGTCACCACCTCTATTCACCCCTGAGGCAAGAGAGGATGAGAGGGCTTGGGGGCAGGGTGGGAAGAAGCAGCCCAGTGAGACAGACTTCTCTGCTGAGGAATGAGTCTGCTCCCTGCGGGGCCCGGCCCCGGGATAGGGCATCCCCAAGATGGACCCTTTATCCTGGGTACATGCGTGACTGGCTCAGGGTCCAGAACTGGGCATTCTGGGCCCTGCCTCTCCCTCCCCATTTCTGTAACCGCGAAACCCTCTGATGGGGATAAATTCCCAGACCCTCTTCTGTCCTCATTTGCCTAATACTTTCACGTGCAAAATCTCATCCTATGAAGAATTATACATTTGCAATTAAATTTTAACAGCACAGGGCTAACCACATCAATTCAGAGCTCTTCCACCCCATGCAGCAGCCCCTGGGTACTGTGGCAGGTGAGTATGGGGTGCGTTAGAATGAGAAACTTAATTTCTAATTTGTTTTCTTTTAGATTCGAATTTCCAATAACCACTTGGTGGGCAGCACAGCTCAAGCATCTCCACGGCTCAAAACCCCTGTGGGTCCGGGCAGTCACTCCTCACTCAGCTTCCAACCCCAGCCCCAGAGGTGCCCCGACCTCGGGGGATTTGAGGGCGCTCCCTGAGTCACCCTGGCCTGCACCAGGACAGAACCCGGGGAGCTGGAGGTGCCCTCGGGCCTCGCCGTGCCCTCTGCCGCCAGGGGCCGCTGCGCCCGGCGCGGGGCGCAGGGGGGGCGGCCCCCGCGAGGTGGAGGCTGCGGTACAGCTGCGCGATCCTCGACCTGCCGGCCGCTGCCTCGTAAAAATCCCCGCTGAGTCTCCAGGGCTGGCGACGCCGAGCCCGGCGCTGCCCTTCCTTGCCCAGAATGGGGTCCGGCAAGCCGGGGATACCAGCTCGGCCAGACCCGCGCCGCCTCCGGGACGCAGCAGCTCGGTGAGGGGCGCACGCTCCGCGCTGGACGGACCCCGCCTGCCTGGTCCGGGATCAGAGCCAGGAAGAGCCTCGGCCGGGCCGGCGGAACCTGTGGGCACCGCCCGGGACAGGTAGGTCCTCCGCGTGGCGGCTCAGGATTTGGAGGCGGGTTCAGGGTTCAGGGTGGGGATCTTGGGGGTGCCGCGGAAGAAAGTAAGGGAAGGTTCGCATTCTCAGCTCGCTGCTGGTATGCAGGCTGCTAACTCAATCCTAGCATGGAATTGGGGTTTGGGGGAAACTGAGGCAAGAGTGAGGAAGTCCAAGGACAAATCCCCAAAGCTTTTTCCCTCCCGGTGTCTCTGAGGGAAGGAATAGCCTGCCAAAGAAGCCAGTTCAAGAGTCCACCCCCCAGGGATTTGGGGTTTGGGGTGCATAGGACAAAAGAGAGTTGAGTGGACGGGGTGGCAGCTCAGAGAAGTGGGATGGGTCTGCCTGGGAGAGGACAGGCTGCCTCATGACGGAAATGAAGTTTCCTGGTGGGCACAGGAGAGGGGCGCCCACTAAGAATGCATCTAGCGGGGTGGGATGCTCTTGGCCCATGGAGACACCCACCCCCACAGACACCACTGCTCCATCTGCCCCCAGAGTTCTCTCCCAGCTCTTGCTCTGGGGCTGGGGCTTGGGGTGTTGATCCTCACTGTCCTTCCTACCTGCCTCAGGTCCGCCTCCCTGTGCAGGGGATATGGGAGAAATGGAAGGCTGTGGGGGCTGTGGCCAGTCTCTCCTGGCTAGACCTGGAGGACCCCCCCCTCTAGGGTCTAGGGCCTTGGAGTAGGAATGGAGGAGAGGGTGGCAGAGTTGAGCCCATTCCCTGTGGATCTAAGGAGCAGGTGTGATGGGGCTGGGAGGTGGAGGGGAAAGGATTTCGGTCTCGGAGTCTTTGCTGGGGGCCTTGCTTGTAGCCACAGAGTCTGCAAGGGACCCACTCTGGTCTTCAACTCCCTCCAAGGCCAGAGAGGTGACAGCACCCCCTCCTTTCAGCCCTGCTCCACTCCCAGCCTCCTCCCAGGCTGACCACTCTGTGCTCCCACAGTCTGCAAGGATCCTGCCGGTTCCTAAGGCTGGGGAGAGATTCTGCCCACTCTCCTAGTACTTTGGGGAACAGCTTCAGAATGGGGTGCTGCTTTAGTGCCCAGCTCACTCTCCTTTACCTTCCTCCTTCACCTCCTGCAAGGCCAATCGCTCCCTCTAACCCTTGCACCCACCTCACCGCCACCTGCTCCCGTTCCCCCCACCTCCCCCAGAATCTTTCCTATTCCTCTCGGTAGAGTGGACCTTCTGTGGATGAACAGAAGCTGAAGGATTCCCCAAAAAGGTGAGTTTAAAAAAGGGAAGAGATCAAGCCCCTGGACCCAATTTGGTCTCATATTCCAGCACTCAGGGGGACCCCAGTGAGGCCCCCAAGGGGCCAGCAGTGCAGCTGAGGGGCTGGTCCAGGTCGGCCTCTGGGCTCCCAGCCCTCTGCTGTGCTCAGCTCCCAGCTGCTCTGTGCCAGTTTCCCAGGGGTTCCCTCCACTTTTAACCCACACTCTGGGATGGATTTGGGAGTCCTCTAGGATGGAGCAGAGGGGGAAGAGGAAGAGCCCAGGCTGGGTGATGTGGGTGTGTGGGAACATAACAGCGTCTGCCCTCCCAAGTGCTGTCTGGCCCTAGGCAAGTCATTTGACTGGATTAGCTTCAAATTCATTCAAATCAAGTTGCTAGTATACATTCCTACCATTAAAAAACCCAAAAGAGGGCCTCCCCGGTGGCACAGCAGGTTGAGCGCAGTGCTGTGAAGCTGTCCGCAGCCTCTGCAGCACCGGTTTGATCCCAGCCGGCCAGGGAGATTCCCACATGGTGTCCAGGGAGCAACCCGCAGGGTGCAGCAGACCTCTTCTGTCTCGCCCACTGCTCCCCTCAGCAGTGTTTTAGGTCTACCTGCCTGTTCTGTTCCCCTCCTGTCTCTGGTGAATCCTCTCACCCTCCTGTGCTTCTGGCCTGTACCCCAGTACCCCAGTTCTTGTATAAATAAATCTTTTTTTTTTTTTTAATAGAGGCATGTTTTATTTATTTATTTTGTTTGTTTGCTTGTTTTGTTTATACATGCACTGGGTACAGTCAGAAGCGCGGGAGGGTGAGAGAATTCACCAGAGCCAGAGCGGGGAGCAGAGCAGGCAGAAGGACCGAAGCACACTGCTGAGGGGAGCAGCGGGCGGCAGGAGAGGGCTGCGCGCCATGTGGGATCCTCCGCCGGTGGCCGGGGAGCAGCCGGGGATCGAACCGGCGCCGCAGAGGCCGTGGGCAGCTTCGCAACCCAGCGCTCAACCGCTGCGCCACCGGGGAGGCCCAAATAAATCTTTTTTTTAAGATTTGTTTATTTATTTATTTGTTTATCTATCTATCTATCTATCTATCTATCTATTTATTTATTTATTTATACAAGCACTGGGTACAGTCAGAAGCGCGGGAGGGTGAGAGAATTCACCAGAGCCAGAGCGGGGAGCAGAGCAGGCAGAAGGGCCGAAGTACACTGCTGAGGGGAGCAGCGGGCGGCAGGAGAGGTCTGCGCACCCTGTGGGACCCTCCTCCGGTGGCCGGGGAGCAGCCGGGGATTGAACTGGCGCTGCAGAGTCTGCGGGCAGCTTCGCAACCCAGCGCTCAACCGCTGCGCCACTGGGGAGGCCCTAAATCTTTTCTTTTCTTTTTTTTTTTTTAATAAAAACAACCCAAAAGAGAGAGCAGTAGGGAGAAACGTAAGTTTCCCCCGTGTCTGTCTCTCAGTCAATGGGTTTCCCTCCTTGGTGGCAACCAATGTTACTGTATTGGTACGTTCCAGAATTAACTTATGTGTGTTTGAGCAACATATTAATCCTTTCCTTTTACAGATCTTATATATACTGTCCTGCCCTTTGTTTTTTTCCCCCCCTTAAAGGATTATCACTGGCGCGCACTGCGTGCGTCCGTCTATGAAGCCCCACTCATTCTTCCACAGCCGCCTGGATGGGGCTGCCTTGGTATGGATGATCCACCTTGCATTAGCCAGATCTTCATTGGTGGCTGATAAGTTGCATCCAGGCTGAGTATCAATTCGCTTATCTGTAAAATAGGAACTAATAGTCCTACTTCGTAGGACGGCTGTGGGGGATCCAGGTTGTGTCTAGGAGGGGCCTGGGTTAAGTGCTCAGAACATGAGAGCCACATGACTGTTTCCCCATATCTCGGCCCTCCATGGGACCATGTCTGGCTCGTCCCCAGGCCTCTCCTGAAGCTCATCTCCATGAAGCTTTTCATGCTCTCCAGGCTGGACAGTCTCCCTCCCCACTCCCCTTTCTTGCTGTCTGGGGCCAGGCTTGTACCCGGCACCCCCAGTGGGGGCACCCCCAGTGGGTGGCAACAGAACTGCTGGGACTGGGCATTGGGGGGCTGAGCCGGGTGTGTGCCTCTCGTTGCAGGATGCGTGAGAGGGCCACGAGGAGCTGGAGCAGAGGTGGCTGGGCGTGGGCGCTTTGCCTGGTGGGGCTGTGGACCCTCCTGGCCTCGGCTTCCTTGCAGCCTCCGACTCCCACAGGTTTGAGGGAGGTAGAGGTGCCTTGGGAGGGGGTTTTCCAGGATGCCTGAAGAGCTAGACACCATCTTGCTCTGCTCCATAGCCGCAGAACTGAAGCAGAGTCAAACCTGCATGTTCTAGGGATTTGGGCAACTCCTCTTTCTTCACTCAGGAAACTCCCAGCTCTGCTGTCCCACCCAGAGAAGGCCTGGGGAGACCCATCGCTCACCCTCCCTTCCAGGTCCAGGCTGGGTTTCTGCAGAGGGAGAGGCTCTGGGTTGGGGCTTAAGTCCAGCCTCCTGGCCTAATTCTCTGGCTTTCCTTCTGGAATGGCTAAGCCTACATAAGCCGATGATCCTCCCCACGCATTGTAAACCCAGGGCCCTTCCCCTCCCCACCCCAGGAAGAGGGGGCAACGTTGGTGGGGGTTGGCTTGGGACTCAATTTATCTCTTGCTCAAAGGCCAGATTCTACTAAACACAGTGTGGCCTCACCGGGGAAGGAGGAAAGGGACAAGAATGTGTGAAGGGCGGGAAGGTCTCCTCCCCCAGCAACTGGAAATCTTTTAAACCCCCCACCCCGCCCAAGCTGGGAGGAGGGGCTGAGGAGCCACAGGGCCGGGCGGGAGGGGAGTTGTGGCTGGACCCCTGATGTCCTGCTGGTGCCTTCAGCGCAGGGGAAGCAGGGCGCCTGCGAGGTGATCGCTGCTCACCGCTGCTGCAACCGGAACCGCATCGAGGAGCGCTCCCAGACCGTCAAGTGCTCTTGCTTTTCTGGCCAGGTGGCCGGCACCACGCGGGCAAAGCCCTCCTGTGTGGATGGTGAGTGAGAGGCTGGACCGGGCTGGGGGGGTCTGATCAGAGAGATAAGGTCTGCCAGGCCTGGCCATCTGCCGGGATACAATTTCATGCCTGCTTCAAGGAGTCTCAAATGATGGGGCAGACTCCGGGGGCCTGGGGGGCAGAGTGACCCTCTTGTTTCATAGATAAGGGCAGCTCCTGTTCTGAACACGCCTGCCTCCCTCCCTCCCGTGGGCATGTTCTTCCTGGCACAGGCACTGCAGACACATTCCCTCACACCTCCCAGCAGACTCCAGGCTTCACACTCACCCCTCAGACACCCACAGTGTCACCTGCTGCTCCCGCCAGGCCTCTTACACATGCCCAAGGCTTCCAAGCCGGCCTCCCTCGCCCCCACATGCACACACGTGCGCGCACACACGTAGGTCTCCTGGGTGTTCTTCGCACCCACCCCCTTCCCACAGCTCCTCCCAGCATATTTTCTCCTGTGTCTGTGTGTTCCTGGGGCTGCGTGCTCACATGCACAACTACTCGTGCCCTCCTGGTCCGGGCACCCTTCCAAGCTGTTCAAACACTCGCTCACATACACTGGGGTGGGGGTGGGGGTGTTGAAGGCTGGGCCTCTGCTGAGGACCCAGCGGCCCCACCTTCAGCATGCACTGTCTGTGTTGAGATGTAGGGTCAGTGTTGAGATGTGGGGTCAGTGTTGACACCCTTGTGTGCTCAGGTCTAGCCTGAGGGCTGCCTGCCTGGGTGCCCTGAGTAGAGGAGAGACAGGGGTGCTGCAGGGCTCCAAGCCCGGGGCACGGGAAGGGGCACCTCGCTGTGCATGGACCCCCAAGCCCAGGACTGCTTGCTGTGCTCACTTGGAGCTTCCCTCTCGGCCTCCTGCCCTCACAGCCTCCATCGTCCTGCAGAGGTGGTGGTGTCAGATGGAGCCCTGCCTGCCGGGGGAGGAGTGTAAAGTGCTCCCAGACTTGTCAGGGTGGAGCTGCAGCAGCGGGCACAAGGTCAAAACCACCAAGGTATCCAGTGATGGACACTTCACCCCAACCTCCTCCTTCCCTTCCTCTGGGGTGGGGAGGGCACAGGAGCCCTGGGGTCTGGGAAGTCACTGCCCCAAGGTGAGACCTGGGACCATGTGGACATACCTCAGGCAGCCCCTAGGACCTGCCCTGCCTGCGACCCAGCCTTAGGGCCTCAGGATGTGAAGTCCCATGTCCTTTGGGCCAAAGTCCTGATGCTCCCTAGGCCTTGGGTTCCTTTTCTGACTAGAGCAAGTTTGCCTCCCAGAAAATGTCAGATGCACAAGAACAAAGCAGAGCATGGAAGAAACTGTCTAGATAGTTAAGGGAGGACTGGCTGCACTAGCCACAGGGCCCTGCCCTGTATGGGTGTCCCTGGTATCCATACTCCCCGGATTCTTTTTATTTTTTTAATTTTTTTTTATTTATTTATTTATTGTGGGACCCTCGCCGGCGGCCGGGGACTGAACCAGTGCTGCAGAGGCTGCAGGCAGCCTTGCAGCCCAGCGCTCAACCGCTGCGCCACCAGGGGAGGCCCCTTTTTTTTTTTTTTTTAAAGATTTATTTATTTATTTATACAAGCACTGGGTACAATCAGAAGCGTGGGAGGGTGAGAGAATTCACCAGAGCCAGAGCCGGGAGCAGAACAGGCAGACTGACGAAATACACTGCTGAGGGGAGCAGCGGGCGCAGCAGGAGAGGTCTGCGTGCCATGTTGGGGCCCTCACCCAGCGGCCGGGGATCGAACCGGTGCTGCAGAGGCTGTTGGCAGCTTCGCAGCCCAGCGCTCAACCGCTGCGCCACCGGGGAGGCCTGGATTCTTAACTGCCTTCAGCTCATGCCTGCCTGCCATCTCTAGTCAAATTGCTGCACTGTGACAACCCCTGAGAGGGTTATTATTTTCATGATTTGCTGCCTGCCACACAGAATGAGGGGTAATTCAAATAATATCCAATCCGTTAGCATTCTACTGTGGCCAGGCCAAGCAGGTGCGTCGCTTCAAGCCAGAACTCTGTCTTTTCTCCTTCTTGCTCCCCTCTGCCCATTGCATACTCAGTGCAAACAAACAAATTCTTAGAAAAGACAGAAGGAAAGACAGCCTTGGGGGTTTTGTAGAACGCAACATTTTCATAAGGCACAGAACAAAGAAACGGTGAGGTCAGATGGAAATTAGGGCTTCCTGTCTCAGGCAGGGTGGGGAGACAGCTGGTCTGAGTCCATTCCAGACCAAGAGAGCGAGACCCACCACAGAGCTTGAGACATTTGTCACTATTTTCTGGGGCTGGGTTTGTAGCCTATGAAAACCGAGCTTGCAATTTGGGAAGCTACTCTGTGAGGCATGGGTGATTCTTGTTTGCATAGGTCACCTCGCTATGCTGCCCCCAGCTAGACTGCTTTAGGGGGAGGGACTTGGTGTCAATGACCTACACTTGACCTGCATGTCCTGGGGAGTCTTTGGTACACGGGGATGGGATATAAGCTTCCCCATCACTTTCCCTCTAGGTCACACGATAGCTCTTGGGGGTCACAGCCTGGACAGGACAACTTGCTTGAGCCATGGACTGAAGGATGGTGTCCAGTTATCAGCAGATATGGAGATTCACTTACCTGGACTCATACCCCGTGACAAATGTGACATTTTTTCCAGGTGCCTTTCAGCTAAGCATCTCGGAACATATGGACAGAACCCCAGCCATATACCCAGTGTGGGGTGGGGCTCTTCTGGGGACACAGAAGAAGGTCAAGATACACTGATGCCCTTATGGCATGTCCAGTCCAATTGGAGAGTCGATGAAAGACAGTTGAGATCTTTTAGGTTAAAGCAGTTAAAGCAGATGGCACTAGATTGTGGCTTCTGGGCCATATGCTACGGGCATGTTGGGCACACCCTGCCCTGAGCCACCTACTGGCACAAAAACAAGAGGTCCCACTGTGGCCCACCACCTCCCTCACTCACATCAGCAGATTCCCCAGTACGATGCTTCGGGGTTGAAGGACAGCACTCTCCCTCCTACCAGACCAGTTGAACTCCCTTGAATGGGACTGGATTGTCCAAGGGGATGGGAGCAGAGATGAAGCCAAGCAACTTTCCCTAAAAAGTTTCTGCTGAGGCCTGGCCTGGATCAGGTGATTCCGTGGGTGTGAGATGGACAGGACCCTAAAATCACTGCCATCCTAGCCCTGTAGGCTTTCATTTGTTGGCTTGTTTTAACAGATGAGGAAACTGAGCCCCAGAAAGGTGACTTGCCCAAGGCCTCACAGCTTGGACTCCCAAATCTCTAAGACCTCTCACCGTTTACTTAGCTTCCATGTTGGGATTCCAGCCTGGGCCTTCCATGTTGCTTTTATCTCAAAACAGGAACCTGCAAAGACTAGGCTGGAACACGCCAATGTTTTTCTCAACAGATGCTCCAGCAGGAACTTTAACCAAGGTCACTGCTCTCCAGTGACTGTCTGGAATACTCCAGGATATCTGCATACCAGGATGTGGGGCTGTTGGGTCACTGCTCTGCCCTCAGTCCCTAAAATTCCAAACAGACCCCAAGACAGCCTGGAGGTCACTCAGCACAGTAACACGCAGAGCACCCTGACCTGCTGCCTCATTGCTCACTCTGGGTTCTTATGTTCTGGCTTCGCTGGGCTGGTCAGGAGAGGAGCCCCTGCTGGACTGGGTGGTGCCTCTGCCCTGGAATGAGGATTGGCACAGTCAGGCTGGACCCCTAAACTTCAGAGACACTGGCCGCTTGGATGTGTCATCGATTAGAGAATTACAGCTGCATAGATTGCTGGCATTAGCAGGGATCAGCTGGGATGACCCGGATGGCAGGGATTACAGGGGGTGGGTGGGCCTTGATGGGTGGGTTCTGGGTAGAGACCAACCTGACAGCGCTGAATTCTGACCTCAGAGAAGACCAATGACAGGACGGTTGCTGCTGAATCATAGCCCACCCTCTCTCCCTCTCCTGCAGTAAAACCAAGAATGTCCACCCCACTCCAGAGTTTGCCTTAATGGTGTGGTTTGGGTAATAGAGTGAGTAGTGACATCAGCTGTAAATCTCAGAACTCTGCCCACTTTGAATCTCTGCAGACAGTGGGGTAGTCAAAGAGGAGGTCAAAGGTCATCATCACCTCTTTCAAGGCTGGGAAATAGATTAGGGACTGGACCAACTTTTTCTGCAAGGGCCAGATAGTAAATATTTCAGACTTTGCAGGTCACCTACAGTTTTTGTAGCATATTCTGAGTTTTTTTTATTGTCTTTTGTTTGTTTTGTTTCCTTTTGTTTTAAAAACCCTTTTAAAAGTGTAAAAGCCATTCTTAGCAGGAGGGCTGTACAAAATCAGACCCAGCAGCCTTGGAAGGTGGCCAGCCCCAGGGAACCTTTGAAGGCAGGCCAGTCTCCACTCAGGAGCAGCCTCCTGGCCTGACTTCCATGCGGCAGGAGCCTGAGCATGAGGGCTGCGTTGGGTTTTGTTTTTCTTCTGATGCTTCTTGAGAGATGGCTGAGTGAATTATTTAGGCTACAAGTGAGACAGCCCTAGCAGAGTCAGACAATAAAAGCCTGCTCTCCTGGAGGCCAGGGTATGGGTTTCCAGGAGGGAGCCAGAGGACTCCAGACCCATGTCCATCTGCTGCATCCACCAGCCACTGGGCTCTGGGCTGGGGGGGTGAGCCTGAGAGTAGGGGATGATGCCTACTTTGTCCTCCCGCTCCAGGCTGCCAACTCTTGTCAGCCTCTGTCTCAGCCAAAGTCCATGTTTCCTGACCCGCTCGAACCTCCCTCATCCTGCTTACAGAGAAGACCGCTTTCCTTTGGCACATGCTGGAATTGCTAATTCATTTTCTAACCCCTTAAAGGTTCCACTTCCTCTTGACTTATTCATATATTTATTTGGTGGCTTTGATAGTGGCCTTTATATGGCCAGGGCCCCGCGCAGAAAGGGCTAGCAGAGAAGGGACAGCATCCCACCTGGCATCAGTAGTTCCCTAGGGGCCATCTAATGAGATGTTTATGTGCATTTTCTAGCTCCTTCAGTGGCAGCTTAGGAATGCAAATTAATTTACCCGGAGGTTGTTGGGGTTATGTGTCTTCCTTTTCTCCCCTTAGTGGAATGGATCTCAGATTATCTGAAGTCAGCTGGTATTCCTCAGTGGGAAGGCCTTGGGAAGATTGCCAACTGCAGGAGATCATGTGGGTAATTTCTGTGACCTTCTAGCTGTGTCACTACAGTCAATGAGTGACATCCTAATTAATTACCCCAGACAGTTGGCTAGAGTTGAGGTAGTAGCTCTTAAAATCATAAACTTAGAGCTATAAGGGATTTTATTTTTATTATTTTTTAAGATTTATTTTATTTATACAATAGTTGGGGTACAGGCCAGAGGCATGAGAGGGTGAGAGGATTCATCAGAGACAAAGCGGGGAACAGAACAGGCAGATAGACCGAAGTACACTGCTGAGGGGAGCAGCAGGCGAGACAGAAGAGGTCTGCCTGCCCCACCATGTGGGTACCTCCCTGGCCAATTGGACCCTCGCTGCAGAGGCGTGGACAGCCTCACAGCGCTGTGCTCAACCCCCTGCGCCACCAGGGGAGGCTCTAAAAGGAATTTTAGAGATCAGTTAGCCAGCTCCCTCCTCTGACAGATGACGAAAGGGAGACTCAGAAGCGTTAGGTGGCTTGACCAAAGTCACACAGCAAGCTGGTGTCTGCTCAGAGACCCAGAGAAGCACCACTTCCCCTGTTGCACATCCCCTCTTGCCCGCAGTGCAAAGAGCCTGAAAAGAAACCAGGATTTGAGCAGGAGTGAATGTGTAAAGAGTCTCAGTCTAAAATTACCCAGCACAAAGAATGGGAAGCATTAGAGATATAGACACAGAAAGAAGAAGCAAAGAGCACAAGGAGGGATTGAGAACACTCCTTCAGAAATGGTCAAAACACCAAAAACGCAACACGAGATAATTAGAGGGAAACTGAAGCCACATTCAAAACAGGTGAGTTTCGTCCTTTCTGGCAGACACAGAATGGAAACCCTATGAATCTTTGGAAGACCTGGGAAACCAGCCTCAATGGCTCCGGGGCCTGCAAACTAAGACCAATAGGCCAAATTTGGCCAGCTGACTGTGTTTGCAAATAAAGTTTTATTGGAAGGTAGCTGTGCTCATTTCTTTATATTGTCTATGGCTACTTTCCTGCTCTGACAGTGGGCTGAGTCATTGCAAAGAGACCAGATGATGCACTGGGCCTGAAATATTTACTTTCGACACTTCAGAGACAAAGTCTGCAAACCCCTGCCCTAGCATTGCTGTGTGAACTCACCGGTCCAGCATAAACTGTGTTAGTTGCCCACAAAATCATAAAAATGGTCATTCACAGCAGTGATTCATCAGGTGGTATGTATACCCGTATACATGATCAGACTTGAGCAAATGCTAAAGGCAAAGCCAGTTGCATGAACAAGGCCCCTGTGCCCGTGGCTCCTCATCCTCACCAGATGTCCTCCAGGTAGTTGACTAAGGAATAAAAAATATTCTGACCTGCTTTCCAGTGGTTCTGCCTGGTCTAGGTTGGTTCTACATGATTTGAACAACTCTGCTCCACTCAGAGAGAACTTGAGGGAGAGCAGGGGCAGGGGAGTCTTCTCAGTGTGCAGAACTTTGAGCATTACACACAGCTGCTCATTTTGCCTGGAAGGAAAGATGGCAAGAGGCACAGACAGACACCAAAGAGGTTTGGGATGTGCCTGGCAATAGGTTTAGTTCCCACCCTTTGGGGCTTTGGTCTTCCCTTTCACTCTGGCAAGGTCATTTCTTTGACTTCTCTTTACCCAAAGGGATTCCCAGACACAGCTTGGCCTGCTCTGGTCAGGGCCTGGACTGAGCCCGAGGAGGCACAGGACCAGCTTCTTTGATGTGCTTTTTAGACAAGAGTGGGGAGGGGGACACTGACTACTGTTCACAGCTGGCTAAGACCCCACAGAGTTTCTTTCAGGCAAGCTGGGGGGTCCCTTCTGTTTCTGGAGCCGATGGACTGAACGGCAGTAGTAGCAGGAACTGCTCCCAAGTCCCACCTTGCACCCTCTCTAAAGGCTGCGAAGGTTGAGCTGAGAGGCATGGAGGCCAAGAGGATAGGAGTGTTGAATTTTTCACCTCAGGAGTGGTGCTTGGGACAGTCTTCAAGTCTGGAGGGTCCAGTTCCCTCCTCCAGGAGCTCAGTCTCTTCCACCTCCCAGCCTGCACGCAGGTCCCGGCTGCAGAACCAGCGCCAGTCACAGTTGCTGATTGTCTGCTGACAGCTGCTGATTTTTAGATTCCGTTGCTAGTGAACCGGCTGAAATTAACAATCCTTCCGGAAAAATCTTTTAATTAAGTTTACACAGAAACAATTGGTTGCAATTGTAGACATTTCTCAATGAGAAGGGGTGAGAGAGGCAGAGGAGAAAGGAGTGGGGGGTGTGTGGGGACTGGCGTGAATGGGGTGGTCAGGGGAGACTGTAGAGCGTCTGCAAGTTTGGGGGAGGGAGGTGCGTTTCTGCTGTCAGCAGTGCAGGCTGCAAGGGTGGGGTGAGCAGGGTCTGGCCTTCGGCTCCAGAAGCCCTCTCGCCGCTGGAGACTGGGCGCTGCAGCCGGCGACTGGAGAGCACAGGTCCTTGTCAGCAAGGTGCGCCTCTGCGCGCCATCCGTGGGACCCCGAAGGCGAGCCGCCGCTGGGGTCGCGAGCTCGGGGCTCCCCAGGGGAGGTGGAGGCTGAGCGAGGGGATTCCCTGGCGGAAGGCGCGGGCTGCGCCCCAACGCCCACTAGCCTGGGCAGCCTGGCGCGGGGCACAGCGCCCTGCAGTCCACTCGGCGCCCCGCAGAGGCTGCTCGTCGCCCTCAGGTTGCGCTCGCCCGCCCAGCTCCGCCTGCCTGGGTCGCTCTCTGGCCCAGTCAGATGAATCCAGACCTCGGGACGTGACGGTGCAATTCAAAGGCTCGCGGAGTCCAAGGCCGGTCCCGCCCAGAGGCCGCGCGCCGTGCGCCCTGGCTGGAGCAGCGGGAGGGAGGCGTGTTTGGGTTGAGCGGCGGGGATCGCTGTCCCCACTCCAGGAGTGGGAGCGACAGTGCAGGCTCCCGCCCACCCGCTCCTCTGACTCGCTCTTGTACCCAACTCGGGGCACGCCCGCCAGTTCTGGGGCCCAGGAGTACCCCGGAGCTAAGTTGTGGATTCCTCTCAAGGGCTGCCCGAGTCCTGTGCGCATGGAGAGGAGCGAAATGTGCAGATAGCGCCTGTTCCAAATGAAGCCCCAACGGGTGGTGTGCCTCCTGATTTTTAAAATTCAGCTTTATTGAAGTATAGTTAGTGTGAAATAACATGCACCCATTTTTAAAAACGAAGAGAACGAATCCACTTAAATTTATTAGTTTTCCAATAAGTTTAAATCCTTGAGAGGCCCAGCATGACACGGGGTTCGGGGCGACCCCTGTGGTCTCAGCAGGAAGGTGGCTTTGGGATTTGGCACCAACCTGGCAGCAGTTTCAACAGACACGTCTTATCTTTCCCTAAACGACTATTTTATTGGGTTTGCCACCAGGAGTCACTGTGTTGTACTTTGCTTTGTGCACACAGGCACATCTCTTGCGTAGATAGAATTCATTTTCATCTTGAGCATAAACACCTTCAATTTTAAGAAGAGAGGCATGCTCCCTCTGATTCTGGGGGCCCCCACTGTGGTTAGTAAAAGTGGCCTGGGACCACAGCCTTCCAGGCATATTCTAGAAGTCCCGCCCTTGGGGCCCAAGATGGCAGAAAGAGCAATGCACCCATTTTAAGTGGACATTTAGATAAGGTGGGACACATCTGTACACCAGAGCAATTCCATCTCCTTAAGAGTTTTTTTTTAAAAAAGATTTATTTATGCATACAAGAACTGGGGTACAGGCCAAAGGTGTGGGGGGTGAGAGGATTCACCAGAGACAGAGTGGGGAGCAGAACAGGCAGATTGAAATACACTGCTCAGAGGAGCAGCAGGTGAGCCAGGAGAGGTCTGCTGCGCCATGTGGGTAGCTCCCTGGCTGGGGATCGAACTCATGCCGAGTAGCTGCGGACAGCTTCATAGTGCCGATGCTTAACCCCTTGTGTCACCACGGAGGCCCCTCAGCTTGTGATTCTGTCCTTGATTCCCAGGTTCCAGGGCCTCCAGGGTTGAGCTTCTGAGTCTCTTAGCAGGTTGGTTGGGCTCTAACTTGTCTCCTTCTCAACCTTCCCTGCACGCCCTCTCAAACCCCAACTGACCTACTGACCTTCTCCCTGAGCAGTCACCCAGTGACCCAGGGTGGAGATGCGGTGGAGGAGGGAATGACAGTGATCCCACATTGGCAGCTACTCCCACAGAGGGGAGCACTGCAAGGGGTGCAGAGATCAGTGCGGAAGCCACCAAGTGCCAGGGAGGCCCCGAGCATCCTCCAAGAGCCTATTGCTTGGCCCCACATCTTGGCCCTGCATGGGTGGCCTTGCCATGGGTGGGCGGCCCTGTCTGAGAAGCGACTAGCAGAGGGAATGGTCCTGTGCCGCCTCCAGGCTGATCCCCCATGGTTGGTCCCGCACGACTGATGGGTATCCTGGGTCCACTTGCTCTAGGTTCCCCTTCACCCTTGTACCAGCCACTCACCATCCCCAAATTCAAGTCCTGGCCTCCCTCAGCCCCTTATGAGGACTCCGGGAGCTGCCAGGGCCCGGCCTCCAATGAGCACTCTGCTGTGACGTCCCCGTGTGGAGGAAATAGACTTGGGGCTCGTCCAAGGCCAGTGACGCACCGTGGTTTGGACTGTGGCCTTGGAGCCAGGCCACTGGGCTCTGAACCAGTTCCACCGCTTATTATCTGAGTGTCTGTCAGCAAATTATTTTAACCTCACAGTGCCTCGGTGCCCTCATTGACAAAGCCCAGCTAATGAGAGGATGTCCGTGACGTGTCTGTGCAGAGCAACTGGCGTAAAATGAGATTTTCTGTCCCCTGGGGTGAGTGGGGGTAGGGCTGGGATGCGGACTGGTCCCAGCAAATACCAAGCACCACTTTGGGAAGTAGGGGGGCAACACCATGCTGGGGGCGGGGGGGGGGGGTGGGGTGGCGGGGGCAGGGCACACATCTTCCAGAGGGAGCTGAGTCAGAGGGCACGGCCTCCCTTCTGGGTGGGAGCTGGAAAGCACTGGGGGGTGGGGGGTGGGGGGGGAGGGACCTGGGCTCACCTCTGGCAGCGTCACCTTGGGCACCAGGAACCTGCCAAGTACACGATCCACCAAATAGCTCTTTCTACCGAAGAGCAGGGATGGGAGAGATTTCAGCCCCTTTCTGGAAGTCTGGCAGAGAGGGCGGCGGGAGGGAGGGGCTCAGCTCCAAGTTTCTCTTTGGATGTTTTCTCTGTCCTTCGGCTGAAACTGGTGACTAATTTCATGAATGGTTAAAACGTTTTCCCAGCAAATAGCAAGGGAAGGAGGGAGAGGCAGGTGAACGTGCATGAAGCTCTCTTAAGCACCAAGCTTTCTTCTGCAGAAAATGAATTGCCCCGCAGAGGAAGCTGCTTCTTCCCATTGAGGTCTGTGGGGCCGGGGGCTTTTTCCACAGAGTAGCCATGTCGAGCGAGTCAGGCTTTGGGCCACAGAAGCAGAAAGACGGGATTAGAGTCTGGTTCTGCACTTACAGCTCGTTGGTGTTAGGTAAGTGACTTCCCACCTCTGAGGCACTTTCCTGGTCCAGGGAAAAGCAACTCCTACTTGATCGAATGAATCTGCAGATTCGAGAACAATCATGTAATGTCTTTCTATGCAGTGGGCACGTGGAAGTAGCTTGCTGTCACGTTTCTCTGGTTTGTGGGGCACAGACCTATGTGTGAGTGTGTGCAGCATGACACAGACGTGTGTGCGGGCCGGGGGTTCGTGGTGTGGGCATTCGCGCCTGTGGGGTACAGCTGTCTGTGACTCTCCGAGGGTCTGCCCCTGCTCTCTCTGCAGGAGATGAGTCCACCTTCCCCATCCTTCTGTGGAGGTTGCTGTTGCTAGTCCTTCCCAGCCTCCTGAGGCGTGTGTGTCTTTGAGGTTATTGCATAGAACTCGAGGAGAACACCCTTCCCCTCTGGGGTGCCCCAGCCCCTCTACAGCTCTATCTGTGCTCCTCTTCCAGCCTCTCCCTCTCTGGAGGCTAATTAGCATTCACAAACATGTTCTTTATGGTTCTATCTTCATTGTTAAATGTGAATGGTAAGTGAGGTTTCTAGTCTGAAGTTTCTCCTTTGAAGTCTTTTACCAAGTCACCGGGGAAGGTGAAGGCATGGAAGCCACGTCTAGAATACTTAGATAGGGCCTGGGAGCTGTGGCCACTGCAAGGGAAGGGCACTGCCCCCTCCCTGCTTCCAGCAGCCCTTGAGCACCCCCTCTGAGGTCCTCCACAGGAGGGTGGTAATGGTGGATGGCTCATCTGCACAGCCTACACCACGCAGGCTCCCAGAGTCCACAAACTCACCCACCCTCACCACGCATGTGGGGGCAGCCCCGCCCCCATCAAAGGACAGCAGGGACCACCTAGGATAAGGTGTGATAGGCTCTGGAGTATGGGGTATGAACTGTCCAGGCTCTTACCCCCCAATCTTTTTCCCCTGTACCCACTAACTCCCAGCCCGTTATAGCTGAACTCCTACTTAACAGAAAGCACCAAAAAATGAATATTTAGCATGGGGTACAAATACTATTATTAATTCTAACAATATCCATACGCGGTAGGTACTTAAAAGTAGCTCCACTTTACAGCAGGAAATTGAACATCAAAGGTCACGTGGGTAAGGATGCTTCTGTTTTTTGGGGTCTTGAAACTTTGGTTTGTTGCTATCAGATTATTTTGATCTTCATTCCTCCCATTCTGACTACCACATAACACATGCTCCTAAAAGGCATTTCAAAAATACTGAAAGTAACAAAGAATATAAAAATCATTTGTAATCTGTGGTAAACTCTTTTCCTTATGACTTTGATAATATTTGTGGGTAGTGAGATGCTCTTTATGAATGCGTCAGTGGTAAGAGACAACTTGGCTACTGATACAAAGATAAGAGGTATTTGCAAAAATATATTCATTTTTCTTGTATACTGGGAAATCTGTACAGAGGCAGTTACCTACGCTGCTGACTTAGTGGTTCAACAATAGATTGACATCTTGAATATGCGCTTAGCATCTGCCTCAGGGTTACAAAATGACTGCTGCAGCTCCAAAAATCACACCAGGTTCAAGGTAGTAAGAAGAGAATGAAAGGGCCTCCCTGGTGGTGCAAGGGGTTAAGCACCGTACTATGAAGTGATTCGCAGCCTCTGTAGCTCGAGTTTGATCCCCGGCTGGCCAGGTGGCTGACCCACATGGCACAGCAGACCTCTCCTGTCTCGTCCACTGCTCCCTTCAGCAGTATATTTCAGTAGCTCCACCTGTTCTGCTCCCCACTCTGTCTCTGGTGAATCCTCTCACCCCCAACACCTCTAGCCTATACCCCAATTCCTGTATGCCTAAATAAACCTTTAAAAAAATTAAAAAAAAAAGAAGAGAAGGAAAAGCACTAGCATCAACTACTCTTTATGAGAAAAGAAAAAGCTTTCCTAGAGGCTCCTGGCTGACTTCTATTTATAACCTATGTGCCATAACTCGGTCACAAAACAACTCCTGCTTTAAGGGGGCCTGGGGAAAGCATTTTGCTCCTCCAGACTCTCAAAGTGAAGTGGGCAGGGAGAAGAGGGATGGGCACGGGAGTTGTGTCAGCCAAACGATGGTGTCCGCCACAGACGCAAGGCCCTGACTGGCCAGGTCTGGCTCTCATGTGCACCTCTGGAGCTGTGATGGACTCTGCTGTCCCCCCCAGTCATGTGGACCAAAACGGATGGAAGAAAACTGGGTGCTCTCAACATAAAGGGGAGATGCACACTAGGAAGGCAAGAATGAGAGTCGTTCCTTGCAATCTGCATCCATTAGCTTTTACTGTATACCAACTCACCCCCAAATTTAGTGGCTTCAAATAGGCCTTTGTGATTCCTCACTGTTCTGTGGATCGGCTCAGCAGATCTGCTGTTCTGGGCCTGCTCAGATGACTTCCTGGGTCCTTTCCAGTTCTCAAGAGCCAAGTAATGATAGCCCCAATGCCTGGAACCTTCTGTTTCTTTTATAGTAATGTTAGTCTACTTCTAGGATTCCTCACACTTCCCTCTGGCTACCCCTGGTATCCATTAGCTTATAGATATATTTTTTTAGGATCTGTTCACTTGTTTTATTTATTTATTTATTTTTAGAATTATTTTTATTTATTTATACAAGCACTGGGGACAGTCAGAAGCGCGGGAGGGTGAGAGAATTCACCAGAGCCAGAGCGGGGAGCAGAACAGGCAGAAGGACCGAAGTACACTGCTGAGGGGAGCAGCGGGCAGCAGGAGAGGTCTGCGCGCCATGTGGGACCCTCCTCCGGTGGCCGGGGAGCAGCCGGGGATCGAACCAGCGCTGCAGAGGCTGCGGGCAGCTTCGCAACCCAGCGCTCAACCGCTGCGCCACCGGGGAGGCCCCCGTTAGCATATTTAAAAGGATCTGTATCCTACTGAGTATATTATATTCAGATATAGGTTAGTTTTTGAGGTTCAGCATTAGGGGCTCCACATAGGTAATTTTGTAAAATCCTCACCGTCAACCCTCTAAGGTACTGTGTCCACTCACAGAGGAGGCAGTCTGGAAGAGGTCAGGTGACCTGTTCAAGGCCCCTCAGCTAGTAATTCTCAGTGACCAGTCTATTCATTTTCCATGCTCTTTCTGACAGACCACCACTGTGCACTGGCTTCCTCAGAAAACTGGACCCACCACCATGAAGTCAAGTTACTGCAGAAGTTTCTGGAAACTTTCTTTTCCGTGGAGAAATAAATGAAGTGACAGTTACTTTTGGACTAAGGACTCTTAGTGCCCTCAAGCAATTGAGCACATATATAGGACTAGAAAGGTGTTAGGGCTGAGGTGGTGAGGGAACTCCCTTCATCATGGGACTCCAGAATTGCCCACATGGCCCACAGGGGAGAGGATATTGCCCCTGCCCTATCCTGCCAGTGTTCAGGTTAGGGATGTACAGGGGCAAGAAAGGAGTGATGTTTTCCTAACTCCCCTTTGCAGAGACAGCTCTCCAAATAAAACTTCTCTCGCTATCGATGGGCATTCAACTAGAATTTTATGCACCATTGACGAGGAAGGTGGTACTTCTGTTGTTTTAAAAACCCGGGCTTGCCTGTGTCTGCTGGCTGTTGTACTGGTGAGTACACAAAAACAGCAGGCTCAAAACACTCAGTGAGATGCAAGATGAGGAGCATGTATTTCAAGCACATTTTTCCTCAGGGCATTGCTGTTCACTAACAAATCACATGATGCATTTGATATCGTCTTTTTTGACAGCATTTATTGTCAACACAGGTAACTTCATGTTTAACTTCAATATTAAAGAATTTGAGCTGCTGTTGGAAATGGTTCTTTTCTTCTTCTTCTTCTTTTTTTTTTTTTTTTGCATTAAAGAACCAGGGTGTAGGCCAGAGAAGCAGCGGGTAAAATGGGGAGTAGAACAGACAGATCTACTGAAATACACTGCAGAAGAGACAGGAGAGGTCTGCTGTGCCATATATGTGGGTTAAATCCCTGGCCAGGATGGAACTCCAGTCGAAGGGGTGATAGCACTGAAACCCAACACCTAGGCCATCAGGGAGGCCCCTGGAAATTGTTTTTTATTCTTTCTGAAGGGAAACCCCACTATTCTTTTTTGAAACTTCTCTTCTGGAATTAAGATAATTGAAGAGGATCCTACGATTGCAAATTTTAAAACACTGCTACTCTTTACAACTATTTGTGTGAATCAGGATTTTTTTTCTCTGTGCAACCAAAGTAAAGTGAGAAATAAATAGGAGACCTAAACAGGAGACACCTATCATCCATTATCTCAATTTCAAATTTTCCTAATCATCCAACCAACCTCTTGATCATTAGTTTAATATTCTAAATCTTAACTTACACAACACAGGCATGCATACAAATTATAAAATTAGAAGTTTACATGAATTATATGAATAAGCACATTAATTGATAACACACTCATGTTTTATATACTGGAACTCTTGCTTGAAATTCAATTCTGAAAATTTTTTCTGCCCTCCCATTATCTTGATTTCACAACAGCCACGGGTAATCAAGGTCTTATCATGATTCCCATTTCACATGGAAGGAAATAGGCTCAGAGAGGTTAGCTCACATCCCAAAAGAAATAAACATACAAATAAATAAAGCAGCAGGAGGCAGAGCTAGCACTTGAAACCAGCTCTCCCAAGTGCAAATTCGGCTGCTCTCCATGGTACCTCTCTGCTCTCCACCCTTCCCCAAACTCCTTGGGCTATGTGTGCTGAGGTTGATGTTTAACCAGAAGGCACCAAGGAATGGGAGGAAGCAGTAGCAACAGTTGCTTCCTCGGCGCTGAGAATTCTCCCCAAGAGCCCAGCATATGGGTGTGCTGACAAGTTTTCTCCCCAGAATCTTGCAAACACAAAGCTCCCTCCAGGAGGCAGGAAGCATGACCTAGTAGGGATTCCCCTCTGCCAGGGCCAAGGAAGGTGGACCAGGAGCCAGATCCCTCAGAAACCTTCCTGCAGATGTTGTTCCCTGTCACTCTGGCTTCAGGAGAGGAACAAAACCTTAAATTTCTTTTCCAGGGTGGGGTGTGAGTGCTTCCTTTACTTTGAGTTGAGGCAGGAAAATGTAACTTCAGCCCTACAGGCTTTGTGGAGTTTGTACACCACTCATCTTCTAGAATGAGGGTCATTAGAAGCTTGATGAGCCGTACATTAATGGACACGCACATCATCAGTCACCGCCAGGGCTTCCTGCGGCAGGCCCTTGGGTCCCTTGCAGCAGGTGGAGCAAGAGAAATATCCTCAATTATGCCCACTGCTGTCCTGGGGACATTCCTTAAACCTTGGCACTCTGCCTCCCGCCCCCACCTCTGGTGTCCCCATACCCCTCTGCAGTTTATTTTCTTTTTTCCTTTTCTTTTTTTTTTTTTTCCTATCAGCCCTCTGCAGTTTAATGCTGCCTTCCTGGTCATGAAATGCACCCAGGAAGTTACACTCCCTTCAAATGTCTTGTCTGTCTACTAGACTTTCCTTCCCTTGGGGTTATTTTTTGAGCATTGCTTCTCCCGAGCCCCGGCTTCCTGCTTTCAAGGACAGCTGCCCTGTTCTCAGCACACCCCCAGCCACATGGGATTGGCCCCAAGTCAGTTTTCCCTGAAGGCTGTAATGGAATTTGCTCTTGAGCAGTAGTGGTAGCTAATATTTCCTGAGCAATGTTCTAAGCACTTTCCTGGCATTAACTCCCTGAGTCCCTACCCCAACCATGTGAATTAGGCACTGTTATTAGCCTCATTTGTAGACACAAGTTTAACTTGCTAGAAAATTGCAGTCAGAAATCTAGATCCCTATCTCCCTCCTCACCCTCCTGTCTCTTTCTCCTCTTGCAAAGTTTTCAACATGCAGAATGAATTCCCATATTCTCATCACCTGGATTTAACAGCTCTTAACATTTTACCACACTTCATATTTTATTAAAAATCTAAAAGATAAGTACTTAAAAAAATCATTGCCATAATATATGATCACATTCAACTAAATTAACAGTAATTTCTTCATATTCAATCCTCAGTCCATGTTCAATTTTTTCTGACTTTATCAAAATGTCTTCTTACAATGACCATTATTTTGTATAAATGAGGATTCCAAAGTTTACACAAATTTGACTGATATGTCTCCTTAGTCTCTTTTAATCTAATCTATAAGACTCTCCCTTTTATTTCTTTTTTTAAATTTTTTAAACTTTTTTTAAAGATTTATTTATGCATACAAGAGCTGGGGTACAGGCTAGAGTTGTGGGAAGTGAGAGGATTCACCAGAGACAGAGTGGGGAGCAGAGCAGGGAAACTGACTGAAATACACTGCTAAGGGGTGCATCAGGTGAGACAGGAGAGGTCTGCTGCGCCATGTGGGTCGCTCCCTGGCCTGGGATTGAACTCATGCTGCAGTGGCTGCAGACAGCTTCATAGGTTGCTTCTTAACCCCTGTGCCACCAGGGAGGCCCTCCCTTTTATTTCTAAAGGTATTAACTTGTGGAAGAATGGCTGTTTCCCTGTCCTGGACTTGGCTGGTACGTTCCTGCAGTATCATTTAACCTGTTACTCAACTGGAAACTAGCAGTCAGAACTAGAGGCCTGACTAAGCGCTGTCGACGGTGCTCTGCCCCCACCCCACCAGTCACTCATGCCTACAAGTCAAATGTTGGCCTCTGGCTGCCTACGAGCTTCTTGTCTCACTGTGACACATTTGCCTGTGCTCTGGGCACGCTGGGGAGACAGGAGAACTGAGGTCCACAGACTCCTCCTTCACTCCATGGACCGAGAGATAAATGCCTCCTTTTCTCGCTCCTTGGCCAGAGTGACTCTGATATTTGTTCGACCCCGTCCCTGTTCTGCAGCGAGGGTGATTCTGGCATCTGCAGTGTAAGTCTCGCTTTCCCACGCCTTATTGGACTTTCCAGGAGCAACCTCCCATATCAAGTGCTTAAAGAGAATCCTGCCCCCAGGGTCTGCTTCTAGGGTTACACAAACCAAGGCAATCACATTCCTGTTCATGCTCTTTGAATGACTACGTCCAAGGTCGTGCTGTGCACTTCCTGTTGCCTCGCATGGAAGGAATATGGTATTCAGCCATCCCACTTTTATCAAAGAAAAGATTGATCCATGGGTTCAGATAATGTCAGTCTGATCCATTTACTATAAATTTCCCAATGAGCCTAATGGCTACCTAGAGTCATTATTTCATCATGAGTAATAATGATGGTGGTTTTCTATTTCTGTAATTCCTCCTGAAATTATTAGCTGTGATTCTTAAGTTAAAAATATCTTATCATCTGTTTGATTAACCTGAATCCAATTTCTACAAGAGAGGCAGGACAAATGCTTCATTCATTTCTTGAATCAATTTTCAGAAAAAAGATTGTTCCAGCAACCTCCAAAGGTGGCAAACGATGGATTTTTTATTTTAAAGTCTAATTATAAAGTCTGAGCTTTTGCTTTTTGATGTGGTATCACCCATTGCTGTCATTACTCTTGATGTTCATATTTTCCCAACTTCAGTTAACGGGGACTGATCAAGTCGACTGTTGTGTCCTTTTGACATTACCCTCAAAGCCTTAAAAAGTTCCACTGATTTCAGGCAAGACAAGAGGCCTCAGGCTTATCTTGTACTTTTTTTTTTTTTTAGATTTACTTATTCGTGCATACAAGAACCGTGGTACAGGCCAGATGCGTGGGAGGGTGATAGGACTCACCAAAGACAGAGCAGGGAACAAAAAGGCAGATTGACTGAAATGCACTGCTGAGGGGAGCAGCAGGCGTGGCAGGAGAGGTCTGCTGAGCCATGTGGGATTCTTGTGGCCGGCCGGGATCAAACCCACGCTGCAGAGGCTGCAGACAGCTTCACAGCGCTCTGCTCAACTGCCTGCGCCATCAGGGGAGGCCCCTCTTATACATTCCCAGCTCCAGATGGAATTAACCGTTTTCCCACAGAGCCCTGGTTCCTTTCAGCATGCTGAAATGAATTTGTAGGGCCAAGGTGGAGGTTCTTCGGCCAGGGTGTCCCTTCATCAAACCCAGCTTCTATGTTCCCACATCTAAAAGTCTATAAAATTCACTCTTGCCCAAAATTGTTTGGGGACGATGTTCTGCTGCTTGTGAGGCCCTGGAGTCTCCCAGTCTATGGACTGTTTTCCCTTGAATAAAGGACACCAAACATTACCAAACAGTTTTGGTTTTGTCATTTGACAGTGGGAAACAGTTTTTGAGAATACAACATGAAGACGAGCAGTGTTCACGACTGTCACCTTGTCTCTAATTCTAGGTCTTTTTTGGTGAACAGAGCTTAGACATGCATCTTTCTTAGAAAAAATAATTTTTCCTAAAAATTAAGTTAAAAACAAAATGTTTACTACAGAAAAGAAAAACATTCTGTGCTCAGTTATTTACAACTGAAAATATGTGTGATGTTGAAGTGAAAATAATTATTGAGCAAATGAATATAATAAAGATTCCAGCGGAACTCCCAGCCCAGGTGCAATGAACACTCCAACGCAGGCAACATCAACAAGTTTGCTTATTTACATACAGCTCCTTCCCTTTCAAGATTCATGGCCAGGGCCTCAGCACTCTTATCTACAAGGTCGGGCAGCCGGTCAAGCTGGTCTGTCTCTCCAAGGCCATCCCCGAATGCCTGCATCTTTCCCCCCTTGCCTTGCCACCCTTGTCTGGGGACTTTGCCGCAAATGGTTGTGCCTGCTGGAAAAAACGATGCTATCCGTGTAACAGGTAAGGACACAGTTGTGTATGAAAGGAACCCCTGGTCTTTAAACAGGTCTTTAAAGTTTACG